GTTCAGCCACGCGAGGCTATACACAAGGTCTGTGAATTAATTTCGCGCTGGAAAAAGAAATTCGTTCAAAACGGATCTCTGCATCCAAATCCTCTTCCCTCTCCTTCCCCTCAAAATATTCCGCAAAAGTCTAATTATACATATATATATAATTATCATTCATTATGCAAAAGTAAAATAATCTTTAATGATTTCACCTGAAGATATATATAGCATTTTTTAGTTGGTCCTATTTTTATTAGTATATAGTATACGTTGCTTTCCCCACATGGCTCTTGCTGAAAAACTAAAAAACAAGAGGAAAAAATCTTTCATCAGCCTGATATTTTATATATTTATTATCACATTCTGTGTGAACACCGTATAACTATTTCACTGCATCACTCGTGCATCACCCTTCTCCTGCCCTCGGTCGCGATACGCGCGATATAGTTCTAGGTCGGATATAGCTCGGCGTATGTACTCCCCGGCATTAAAATTTCAGGCATACGGTGTGTGTAGGCACACTTGTATATGGATGTATAAATAGCACGCGTTTATAAGAGAGAGATAGAGAGAAAGAGATAGATGAATAGATCAGACAGGGAGTAACGTCTCCGGCATTTTCAATGGGCTTGTTAGAGAACCGGTCGCTTCCATCTCTCGTTATTCACTGATAAGGACTTGGTACTAATATTAGTACTAGCTTCTCGCGATACTTGATTTCACTTTGCTTCCTATATCTGTGACCGCGAAGTCTACGAAAGCAGATAGAGCATGTACGCTGTGTCCCAGATGCAATTGCTCAATCGTTCGTGCAGAATAGTCGATATATCTGCTCTCCGCCACTTTTGATATCGGAACTTAATATAAGCGGTTTCATGGATTTGTCGCTGCGCGCGATATCTCTTCTTGTATCAAATTATCGTGCGTTTCATCTCAGCAAGATGATGCATCCCTTAATTTCTTTTCCCTCTGCGCGTCCTTCCCTTTCTATTAATTTTTTTTTTTTTTTCGTTCACGTTCGATCTATTTTTTTAAATAACGAGAGAAAGAAGAGAGATGTGAATTATAAATATAGGACGAATGATTCTTCTAATAACTTTTATGAAGAAAGACTGCGCGACGCGAGTCCACCGTTGCGAATATATCGCGACGTTTGCGAATATAATGTATAATGGATGAATGTCAGCGCATGATAATAATCGCACTGGACATCGAGAGCATAGCGCTGTACAACAGTAAGCAAATCTCGATGGCAAAAGCGATAGTAGGCAAATTATTCGTTTGGTTTGTTCGTCCGGTAAAGAACCTAATCTCTCCGTTTCTCGTTTTTCGCCCCTATTCTGTTCGTCTCTTTTTCTATCTCTCTCTGTGACACATCTCTTTGGTATATAACCACCCGTCTTGTCTTATCTCATCTCTCCACTCTCGTAGCCGCGTCTTATCTCCTCTTCCAGTCTCTCCCATCTTTTATCTTTTCTTTTTCCTCCCTCTTTTCCTACATTTCTTTCGTTTTACTGTCAACTGTCCACGTAGAATCCTTTCGCCCTCTTTACTTGACATCTCTGCATCTCTACTGCCATAGTTCATACACATTAAATGATGCTACCTGGTCTCTCAAATTGCAAGATCCACTCAGTTAGCTCTTGAATGAAATTACGTACGAGATTCGATCTGACATTTCTGATTCTATTTCTCTCTCTCTCTCTCTCTATTCTATATATATATATGTGTGTGTGTGTGTGTGTGTGTGTGTGTGTATATGTATGCGTGTTTCTTTCTTTCCTACCTTGTCTCTTCCAATTTCATGCCGTCGCGCAACGAGTAATTCTGTATATACATATTCCATGGATCGCCATTAAATTCCTGTTAACGAGCGATACGGCCGAGAATTTAATTTCGCGCCGTTGCAGCTGTTTGAGCCCATTAAATACTATCAATCTCTCGCGATTCGAAATACGGCTCTGATCACGAAACGAAAACGCATCGTATGCACCGCGTATCGATATCGGATGAAATTCGTAAAGTTCCGTCGTACGCTTTTTATTGGTCGAATTTTCGTATAGATCGCATCAGCAGACTTTTGATTTCCCTGGAGCATCTACCGGCTGTTGGGAAATTTTCCGGTGACTTTTCTCGTTCGGTTGTGCAACTATCATCTTTTACCTCAAAAAATATTACATAGTGTATAAAACTGTACATTACCATCATTCTCTTAAATTTTGAAAAACCGATTCTTTTATTTAATAAAAGTAATTAAAGTTTGCCCTTATATTGCCTTTATCTTTTCCGTGCTAATTCACCAACGTCGTTTACAAAAAAAAAAATTGCTATTTTCTTTTTATATTTTTCTCTCGAGTCAAGTTCAATATTTGTATAAGGGAACTCTAATTGTCTACAAGAGCGGATTGAAAAAAGACAAGCGTCCATGCATTGTCACAGCTGTCGTGCGTTTCGTGCTATCTTTCATAAGTTAACGTGCCTTTTAACTAACTTTGAAGATCTCGACTCGCGCAAGCACGTAAAGCGCTTTCCGATAGCTTCTGTCGTAATCATAAGTCATGTCATTCATGCTCGGGTATTCCTAGGATATAAGAATACCAGAAAAAAATAACAAGAAAGCTACGCATATATCGTTTGCTACAAAAATTCCATATCCGTCATCGATTTGACGATAATTAAACAATTTTCGCGAACGAGCTCCGCAACTTATGCCTTAAACGATTTTGAAGCGCGGGATCTCCGCGGGAGGATGCTGAATTTATTTAATCGTTCCGGTAATTCTCCGCTCTCCGCGTGCAAATAAACGAAGAGGTCGGATATCTTGTTAGGGCCGAGTGGAGCCGAGTAGCGACCGGAATCGAGAGAATCTTCTTTGTGCCCGGGCACTCGCCAGGATGCATAACTAAAATCGTCAAGAGTTTATCGGCCGTCTTGTTAACGGCCGGTTCGACGCGACTCTGCGGAGCGAGACGGAAAAAAAGAGGGGGTGAGGAGGGGTGAAAAGAGAGGGAGGAAAGGAAAGTGGGGACCGACGTTCTTGGCTCTAAATGCAGCCGCTTAAAGTACCCGCCCCCGTACCCTTTGACGTCGAGTGCCTTTATAACGTTTCTCGCATATTATTAGTCGCATTTGCATTTGACTTTGTCTCGTACCTATCTTTCTGCGTGTCAGGGCTCTCTTTCTCGGCGATTCGTTTCCTTGATCAGAGGAGTGTCCTCGTCCTTTTAGCCCAGGACGACATCGATTGCAAAAACGTGTTCGCGCGCTGCTCTCGCAAACGTTGGAATTTGCAGGATACGAAGGTGGCGCTGGGATGTTGTCTACCTGCAATTGCACAAGATCGCGTAATAAGACGACGTGCGTCGTTATATCACGGTCGTGTCATATGTGACTTGCACGAGAAGATCGCCACATCGAATCGATAGTAGATGTGATCCACACGCGCCGGTTACGTAAGGCGGCTCGTGAACCACACTTGAAGAAAGCAGGCGCTGATTTATCTACCTAATATGGGAGCCGCTCGAAGAACCGATCCTGAATAGCACGTGAAGGGAACTGCGATGTGAATCTGGGACACCCTCTATATTTGTCTCTTCTCCTCCGTTCACATTTCTAATTCCTGCAAAAATTATTCTCTTGTCAGATATAAATAGCGCACCGGGAATAAAGAGAATACGAGTATTTCCATCATCATCGTGTATCAAATAAACTTCAAGATTTTTTTTTTTTATCGGTTTACATCTCTGCATATGAAAGTATTCCCTCAGGTAGTACATCCCTCAGGCGCTACGAGGATTAACGAAAGGTACATAAAATCGATACTACGCGGAGAAACATAACTCCTCTCGCGCGTTGTGTGCGATCCGATGATGATGGCAGGTCGGTGACAGGATACTCATTATTATCATCGGCGCTATTTCTCATGCACAAACTCCATATTTGTCCGCGACTCTCGACGAGCAGAAAAAGAGAGAGAACGCATTGTCCCAGATACTTTACCGCCACGCGATACATCCCGAGATGCGGGTAGGCATCTCCATTAAACGTTCGATACTGCAACTCTCGGAGTGAGGGAAGCGTGTCGTACGGGCGTGTGAAGATGAGAAAGTTTTCGCGGAACCGCACGTTTAGCGCGTTATCACTCGTCCTGTCATAAGCAACTACGACCCGCCTACGAGATACGGTACAAGCCGCACGTACCTCGCTACAAGTTCCGCTCTCGGGGAATCCCTGACGAAGATCATTCGCGAGAATCGCGCTCGTTTTCGCGAAACTTTCGTCTAAAATTACACGTGGCTGAAACGATAATTCTCGAAAGTCGCCGACAAAACGCAGAAAATTTATCCGTATCGGATGGGTTTAAAGTAACTCCTCGAGTTCCTGGCAAATAATTCTCTCACGCTTTCTCCCGAAAAAGATAGAGAGAGAGAGAGAGAGAGGGAGAGGAAACGTTATTTCCTTGGCCGTTTATCGTTGATAAAAATTTCGCATCCTTTACGTGTTGAAGCCTTTTAACACGCTTCTCACTCTACATGTCGCATTTTTTTCTCATTCCATATTTCCTTTCTTATTGGACGCGATAATCTATATTAATATCTAATCTTACGTCAATTTCATTTTTTATTAGAATCACCTGAAGCAAATCGTATGAGAGACGTTAACTTTTATGTCCTTTCACGATCATGTTTCTCTCTCTCTCTCTCTATCTTTTTCTCCCCGACATAATCTTCCCTCTCTCTTGATCCCTGCCGCCCTTTCCTTATTTACACTTCCGTCTAGCCAAATTTCATATCCACGGCTTTGTCCTTGATAGGGCAGCAGCGATCTTTGACGCGGACTGCAGAAAATTTCGGTCGCGTCGCGGTCGGTGGCCCGTGCGTATTCATACGCACGCACTCACTCCCATATATACGTGCATACCTGCTTATCGGCATCTATATACTCGTGCTCACATGCGCAGCGCACTTTGCGCCGTATATACAATATACGTATACGAGCGGATAAAGGATCGACCATGGCGGCAGTGTGCGATTCCGGCAGGAATTCCCGATGAGACGGGCGGAAAGTACAAAGCTCCGACGCGCCTCGTCACACATCTCTCTCTCTCTCCGTCTTGCGTGCGCTCTCGCTGCGCGCACGATGGCTTCGAACTTCCGGCCGAATTCGGGCGGCCTCGTGCGCGATCGCCTCGACTCGACTCGGATCGGGCCGGCCGGCCGGCCGGCGTGGACTTCGGCGCGGCTCGTCGCGACCGACGTAGCGCAGAACGGTTAGTAGCGTCGCGCGCCACCGCGGGCTAGGACTAGAGGCGGAGAATTTTGCGGGGTCCTCCGTGCCCCGTGGCCGTGCAACGGCCGATCGGCCAGTTCGTCGTCGACTGTTGGTGGGAAGAGGTATTTTCGCACTTCGCCCGGGATGAATCTCTCGGCCCGGCAACGTGTCTTTCTCTTCGTTATTTTTGCAATCTCGCGCTTCGTAGTTTCTATTTTCCTTCTCCTTCTCTATCTCTCGTTTTATTTCTCTTTCCGTCTGTATAATTCTACATTCTTATCTCTTCTCTATATATCCTTCTCTCTTCCGTTTCCGCGGTTTTACATACTCCTCGTAACCGGCGGATGCACCACCTCGGCGCGCTCGGAGAGAGTCGGCTGTTTCACGAGTTCTCGTAAGTGTGCAGTCCGGATATCCGTCGGCCGATTTCTACACGGTATATAACGTACAAACGCGAAGTATTCATATTCGTGTTTTCTTAGGGTACCGGCACTCGGGATGCGTAGTAAGTCGCAAGTGTTTGGTGACGTGTTAAAACGCGGCCATTTGCACTGGTCCCAATCGCGAGAGAGAAAGAGATAGCGTGAACGGGCGGAGGGAGGGAGAGAAAGAAATATTGGGCACAGGCTCCTCTTCGCGAGAAGTTGGCTGCAAATTTCGCGAAAAGAGAAGAGGGAGGGGGGGGGGAGGAGGGGAAGAAAGATGCGCGTCCGCGCATCTTGTCGCGTTCGATCACGACGATCGCAATTAACGTAAAACGCGAATATCGAAGAAGAATCCCGTATCCCTTTGGCGAAAATCGAAAGATCGCGAATCTCCTCTTCTCTCTCTCTCTCTTTCTCACTCTCGCTCTTTCTCTTGGGGCGACGGTGAGAGGCGCATCATTCGTGCGGGGAGAGGGGGTGGCTGGCTGGCAAACTGGCGGGGGCGGGAACGGGGGCATCGGAAGGCGATAGGAAGTCGCTGCCGAGACGGCGACAGAGTAACGTCGCGTGAAGGAAGGAAGGAAGGAACGAACGAGCGAACGAAGATCGAGTTGATGAAAGTTTCGATTGTCACGCGCGCGCCGGCTCGCTCTCTCTTTCTCTCTCTTTCTTTCTTTCTCGGAGGTGGCTCATTCGCGTACGCGACGCGACGTGATGCGAGTCGAGAGTAAATCGGGAAAAGGAGGGCCGATAATATACGATGTACGAGTGACTCAAAATACAAGTGACGTCGATCGTCGAGACGAGATCGATGGAGACGAGAGCGAGAAGAGTGGAAGAGGAGACATGAGGAGAAAGAGAGAGGCGCGCACACACACACACACGCACGCACACACACATACATGCATACACGTCCACCGGCAGTGCGCCGCCCGGCATAACCTCGCCGATCGACGTGATGCGAGCACGTGCGCCATCCGCTTCCAGGTAAGTGCTTTTACACGATATTGATTCCTCTTGTAACGTACCTTTGCGCTGCCAACGACGGCAGTGACGACATATCGACGTGGTCTCGTCGTCGCGGCCGGCATATGGAGGCTACGCCGAGAAATAGCTCGATGGTTTTTTTTTTTTTTTTTTTTTTTTTTTTTTTTTTTTTTTTTTTTTTTTTTTTTTTTTTTTTTTTTTTTTTTTTTTTTTTTTTTTTTTTTTTTTTTTTTTTTTTTTTTTTTTTTTTTTTTTTTTTTTTTTTTTTTTTTTTTTTTTTTTTTTTTTTTTTTTTTTTTTTTTTTTTTTTTTTTTTTTTTTTTTTTTTTTTTTTTTTTTTTTTTTTTTTTTTTTTTTTTTTTTTTTTTTTTTTTTTTTTTTTTTTTTTTTTTTTTTTTTTTTTTTTTTTTTTTTTTTTTTTTTTTTTTTTTTTTTTTTTTTTTTTTTTTTTTTTTTTTTTTTTTTTTTTTTTTTTTTTTTTTTTTTTTTTTTTTTTTTTTTTTTTTTTTTTTTTTTTTTTTTTTTTTTTTTTTTTTTTTTTTTTTTTTTTTTTTTTTTTTTTTTTTTTTTTTTTTTTTTTTTTTTTTTTTTTTTTTTTTTTTTTTTTTTTTTTTTTTTTTTTTTTTTTTTTTTTTTTTTTTTTTTTTTTTTTTTTTTTTTTTTTTTTTTTTTTTTTTTTTTTTTTTTTTTTTTTTTTTTTAAACCGTGTGTCGCACACAGTTACTCGCGGGATATACTTGGAGTTATATAATCAAGGTTTCAAACTTTTGAAAACGATTATTGATAAAGTCGACCTTTATCTTCTCGTTGTTATAATTGAAATTATCGTTGCAACGTAATTGTGACAATTTGAAAATATATTAAATGAATAACGTAAAGATAGATTTTAATCTTACTTTCCACTACGAAGGGCGTATCTTTTGTGTCGACGTGATCATTGCGCTTAATTAGAATGAAGTCAAGATTTCGTATATCGTACGACGACAATTGTGTGTTTTGACAATAAAGCGAACAAGCGAAAAAAAAAAGAAACACATTTATTTGCATTTGCGAACGACATTTGTCAAGAACTCGATCTTGACAAATGTCGTTCGCAAATGCAAATAAATGTGTTTCTTTTTTTTTTCGCTTGTTCGCTTTATTGTCAAAACACACAATTGTCGTCGTACGATATACGAAATCTTGACTTCATTCTAATTAAGCGCAATGATCACGTCGACACAAAAGATACGCCCTTCGTAGTGGAAAGTAAGATTAAAATCTATCTTTACGTTATTCATTTAATATATTTTCAAATTGTCACAATTACGTTGCAACGATAATTTCAATTATAACAACGAGAAGATAAAGGTCGACTTTATCAATAATCGTTTTCAAAAGTTTGAAACCTTGATTATATAACTCCAAGTATATCCCGCGAGTAACTGTGTGCGACACACGGTTTAAAAAAAAAAAAAAAAAAAAAAAAAAAA